ATGATATCTTACGGGATTATTGGGTAGAAAAAGGACCTTCCGTTTGTTAACACAAAGAAAATAATTTTGATAAATCGGACCGTATATATAAAACCGGAGGTAAAATGGAAGAAACAAGACTTTCTCAAGCAATGTTCTCGCGATAGTTGCCAAACGAAATTGTACAGAGCGATTGGATCATATATTCACCTGCAAAGAGAAAAGTTTGTTTTACGTGAAACCTTTTTTTTCTCACTCCAAATTTCCATTAGCGGAGATGGATTTTATCACAGGAAACATGCTCTAAACGATCAGAACGATCTGACTACGTGGAAATAGTCAAGAACATAGAAATTGCATGGTAGAATATTGTAGTCGATCAAAAACACTCGGGCGAGTAGATACACAGTTGATGACCCAATATAATAATGAGCGACAATAGTGGAAAGAGGTATTGAAAAGAGTTACTGTAGTAATTAAATTTTTAGTATCGAGAGAACTCTTTTTAAAAGGTTTTGACCAAAGAGTTAGTTCAGTAAAAAATGGAAATTATTTGGGTATTTTGGAACTTGTCAGTATGACCCATTCTTCACGAACACGAAAAAATATGGTAATGCAGGGAAAGGGATACCATAATTATCACCCACAATTTGCGAAGAGTTCGTAGAAATAATGGGGACTAAAGTTCTTTCAGTAATGAATTCGGAAATTCAACGCTATTTTTGTAGATTCCACTCCGGATGTGACTCATATTGATCAACTAACTTTTATAGTAAGATATGTGATAGACGCTGTTCCAAAAGAGCGATTTTTGCAGTTTATTTCCATTCATGGTCATAAAGCAGTACATCTTACTGAAGTTGTGACACACTTCTTAAAAACCAATAACAGATATCCTGAATTGTAGGGGTCAGTCTTATGACAATGCAGCAAACATGTCTGCACGGGTTTTTGGGTTACAAACGAAGATAAAAGAACTAAAGTATACTGAGAATGTACCATGTGCTGAATATGGTCAATTTAATGTGAAACTCCAATCCCAGTGTTGCAGGGAGACGCCTACAGGACGCACCTGCTCGAAAGAGGTTTCGTAGACCCGCACCGGGGGTAGGCTTCAAAGAAAGCCTTGGTCGAATACATGGGTAACAAGGGCAGTGTCCCCGCCAAGATACGCGTACGATAAATAACAACTAGCATCATATTCAAAATAGAAGGCAAAATCTAAAACACAACAAACGTTACTGCGATTTAATGACGCTTATTGACGTTCCTACATTTGACAATTTGATCTATGTATGTATTTGGTGCAACAGCCCGTAAACGGGCTCAGGCCTATCGGCGACGTCCGTGCCTCGCGGCCATGGGTTAAGGGTGTGGTTAGCATGTAGATATTCGGTGAAGTGAATTTTCTCATCGTCCCACAGCAACGTACACTGTGACATTGCAAGAGAAACTATACAGAACAGAAGAGCAGTATAGAGAAAGTATTGTAATGCTGCGGGATTAAACGACGACTTTTCGATAAACAAAACCCATATTCCATGGCCCTGGTAACGAAAATGTGGCTAAATCTTATTTCTATATGAAGATATGATGAATGGGTGAAAAACAGAAGCGTATTAGTGACATTTTAAAAATTCTGAGAAACAAGTGTTTATTGTAGGTTTTATTACAGTGGCAATGTATTTTTGTGGTTTTAATGAATGCCGTGGTTTTAGTGATGAAAAAAAGCACCACGACTTTATAGTAATATTGACTTAAATAAACAGATTTCTCTGAATTTATAAAATGTCACTTATACATTCTTGTTTTCACCCATTCATATGTGGTAAATTACGTCTGTATTAGATCTCACGCGTGGAGTTAACACCCACGTTTTGTGAGTCCTTATTACCGGAAAATAGGTTTATTGCTAAATATTTGTCTGTGATTAACGCTATCGGCTAAATCATAAGCAAAGTTTTCACCAAAATTGATTTTCTTCAAAACAAATATTGCTTGATCGATTTAAAGGACCTCTGTGTTTGATACTGATATGTTGATTTTTTAAGTGTATTACATGAAGCCTCAGCAATATATATTTTCAAAATTTTATCAGAAATGGCTCCAAATTTTTGGATTCAACTCCGTCCTTGGATAGTGCAAAAGGACACTTGAAAGAATTGTATAGGTTTCAAATTTCATTGAAATATCTTATATTTCGAAAGTGCAAATGCGGTCTGCCTATAACAGCGGTCGGCGTCTTTCAACAACTTCAATATTGAAAATCAGGATATATTCCCGATCTTGTGAAATCTTGTTTCAAGATCTTTCTTTAAAAACAAAGTCAAGTTCTATTATTCGAAAATATAACTAATTTTCGCATAATTTTGTGTGAAATATAAGCCATTTTTTACTTAATTTTTTTAAAAGGCGTCAAATTTTTTCCTCATTGTCTCCTCGTATGAATCAAAGAACCGTATAAACAGCGCTGCTAGCATCAGTTCCAGAAACTCTGTTTTCGAAAATTTGCAAAATGTAAACATTGTAAGCGTACAATATTGAAGATAAAGATGTTTGTTTCAAAAGAAATCTGTTTCAAAAAAGTCAAATCTTGAAGTCGTTTGCAATTATTTGAAAAAACTAGTTTTCGCGTAATGTCTGCTTGAATTTAGTCCAAACTATAAAAATCCGATACATTTGTTTTCTTTTAATTTTTACCGCGGGTAGAACAAGGGACGCTTAAAAGGATGTCGCAAGTCTCATTTTCATTGATCTTTCAGAATGTCGTAAACTTAGAAATTTGTAATTCTTAGAAAGAAGTGTGTGCTTTCGTAATACGAATTTCATGCGCTTCATTTGATCCGCTGTCATGCGCAATACAGGGGCAACGCCACGACACATCACTTTGAAATTCGTAGAATTCTTCTCATTGTTGGTCGACGATGATTTACGCTATGGAGACTTGTTTATTTAACATTAATATTAGGGTGTTTCTTCTATTATCGAGGCTAACCGGGTCTAGCCGCGTGACTGATATGGTGGCAAACTTTTCGGCCAGCGTATTGTGGTATTCTTTAGAGCGTACTGCTGACGTACGCTCCAGCAGTACGCTCTAAAGAAGGCCACAATACGCTGGCCGAAACGTTAGCCACCATGTCAGTGACGCGGTTCGTCCCGTATAGCCCAGATAATACTAACTCCGGCCACGGAAGCCTAAGCAACCAGGGTGTTTCTTCGTTCAATTACACTCGTAGTATAATTATTCAAAAATTCGAAGCTCACTTCCATGAAGTTAAGGCGAACTTGTGCTAAATAGGTTTTGGTTATAAAGATAACCAATGTGCTGCAAATACTGGAATAGTTGATATTTATTCACTTTTTCTACTTTTGCTGATGTAAGAAAATACTCTTCATCGCAAACAAAATAATTGCAGATACGCACCGCAGGCGTTTGGTTTGAAATAGTTTGAACATAAAGTGTTAGTAGCACCGAGAGTTAGTAGTGGAGAAATTGCAGTATTGTAGTGTTATTTAACCGTTCCCATTATTGCGAGAGTATGTGCTGCTCCATCTTTATTATTTTATTAAACTTTTTCCTGCGATTGCGTAAACAACGCTCAAAAATTAAGGTTCCATTTTCGTTAAAATCCCTGAATTGTCGAAAATGCAAAACTTGATTTTTTTTCAGAAGTCTTCCTGTAATGTTGATAGTTTTTCAATAAATCTGTTCGTCAATGTTTGATCTTTATATAAGAGTACTTTTTTTAAAATGAGAGTAGTTTTGCATTAAGTTTTTCCTATCTTCAGCATTGCAAATTCTCTCCGTCGGACTCTATTTCCGCCCGCCAGGCGTTTAAATATACAATTGACAAATATTCTTTGTTGTGTGATGGTAAATTTAAACAAGATATCTTCATGAAAACAAAGAAAGGAACTTATAAGTGTAGGAATACTTTAAAATTCAGTGGGCGTAGAGGGCCTGGCCTGAACAAAGTTCTAGACTGACAAACATTCCCTGGAAAGCAGAAAACACCCATATTTTCCATAACTCTATTATTCTGTTGAAGCTATCCTGATAGCTATAAAAAACAGGGTGAAATACAAGCATCAAGCTTTATTTTCTTGATAGCTATCTCGATTTTTTCTTACACCTTTAGTTGGAGATTTTAGGAAATTACTGGGGGAGCGTTTGCACCGGGATCTGAAAGTATCGTAGCATTACCACTGAAAAACACTGATAACTTACTATTTTTTGTCTGTGTAGATGCAGCGGCGGATCCAGGGACGAATCCAGGGAGAGGAATTTTTTTTTATTCAAAATGTTTTGGTAGAATAGTCAATGAATATTACAGATTACTTAGAATGGCGCAGGCTAAATTCAGCTCATGTTGCAATACAATCTTTTTCGCTTTAGTGTTTATACGCAAATATTGTTGCTTAAAAGTTTCGTGACTAGTTATAATTAATAGTTACTGAAAAAAATTTGGGAGGGGAAATATCCCTCATTTCCCTCCCCATGGATCCGTGCCTGGTAGATGGGTAATGCAGAGTCTCTATACGCCATGTAACTGACGAATATCACTTCTGCATCGTAATTAAACGAGTTCGTGATAGTGAAATGCATAAATTGGTCTTGTGTCGGAATTCATTTTAAAAGTTGACAAAAAAATTAACATGTTTTCTGGATTCGTTTTCTTCAACTTTGATCTTTTTCTTCCTTAGTTCCCTCAACTTCTCAGTAAATGAGATTACATTTTCAGTCAATACTTCAATAGAAATTTTGTAAATTTCCTACGTGCGGGATAAAAATCCATAAGCAGATTCGTAATTAGGAGGCAAAAATACAATAAAATCACCCACCTGAGCTAAGTCGCGACAACAAATTGTTTTGTTATTGGTTAATTATCTCTTATTAGAGTTAAAAGTACACAAGTTACATTATTTAAATTTTGGATAATATTTGTCCATACAGAATAATACACAATTAATGCTAGACAATATTTTTACCGTATACTTAACTTGTATACAATTTTTCGCAGATGAGAAAAGAAGAGCGCCAGCCATTGCTACCAAATTCAGAACCTGTGAATGATACTTATGATAAACGAGTATTGCCACGTCCAGACGTGAGGGCATCACCAGATAATGTTGTTCTACACTTGCCTGGTGGTCCTGTGGATTCATCCTCAACTTTGGAGCCCAAAATCGATGACCGGGTTGAAGGGAGTAACGTTGGTGGAGTCGGTGGTTCCGTTGCTTCCGTTTGTCCGGACAACGGTAGCAACTACGATCCCCTTCTGGACCGTGATTTGCAGCATCCAACCTCGTAAGTAATTAAAATTTGTATCGAATATTGTTTTTATTTCCTCCGCAGAGTGAACATTAGCGGACTCTACTTTTCGCTCTACCTACAAGGACTCTACGTGTCATTTTGGCACACTACTTTTGATAATATAATTAAAAAGAAATTGAAATAACGATTATTTTGATACTTCATGATTTAAAATTAATAAATTTATACATGCACGAACTTTCAGTACTTAAATCAACAAATCTAGTGAGAAATGATTAATAGAAAAATCCCTATCACCTGTGATTTTGTTGTGAAACCAGAATTTTTTTTCTGGGTTGTACTTGTTTTTGTTATGTTCTAAAATAAGAACTTTTTCTTCTGTTAGCACCTGTAGTCAGTGAACCTTGACCAAAACATTATTCGAAACGTAATTGGATTCTTCCATTGGTTTCGTGCATGCTTTAGTTTCTGAGAATAATTTGTTTCCTACTGAAGTGAGACCATTTTTGTTTTCAATTTTGATTGCTTTTTGCTGTTCTATATACTACTACGTAGTGCACTGAAAGTATCGTAATTTTGCAGTCAGTGTGCCGATGTTTCGAACTAAAGACTCGTTGCTGGCTTCCTGACACCCTAAAAGTGGTATTTTCTTATTCATATATGTACCGCCATGGAAATATATTTCCCGTCGAAGATGCCTTGATTCGAGAGTTTGATGGCAATGGACAACATTCCCTGCCGACTTCGCTGCCTAACGATGTTTTTTTCACAACTATGTACTCTAGACCTAACTATTAATATTTAATTAATTTTTTTGGAGAGCGTACACAATATTTTAACGGCCATTGAGAGGTAAACAGTACTCTTATAGAGGTAAGACCTCCGCGATTTCTGCTAATGAAACTGAATTGACATTAATTTTTGTATACGTGATGTTGCTTTCAAGTTGCGTTAATATAAATTGTGTTGTCATAAGAGGAATGTTAGATGAGCGAATTGGTGGCTCAGTCACAAAGTTTTGTTCGCAGGTTCGGATGTCCGAGATAGTTACGTGAGTAGTATCGTAGCGATCTCAGACCGAAGGATCACGGGTTCGACACTCGCCTCGGGCATGGTTGTATTTGTGTTCATTTTACCCTCTATCGCCTTCTCGGAGAAGCGGTGCGAGCAAAGGGGGGTGGGAGGGAGGGGCAGATGGCGATCGTCAATAACGAAAACCAGTGGACCTTTGCCGATGTTTTTGGGATCATGAGTGGGAGACCATCTACACCCGTAATTTTCTTTCGGTTTGGGAAGAAAGGTTTCCTTTTGTAGATACCGTAAGGATGGCGGAGTGTTGAGTGTATATGAAAGAACTGCAGTATGTTAAAGAGTTCAACTGACAGAGGCATTACGCAACTTTCAAAAACTCAGAGAAACCCGTGAGATGAAAAAATTTCTAAGAATTTACAGATGCACTGCAATTATAAAATGACAAAAGAATTTTTGCCGATAGAATATTATGGAAAATGAATGAATGAAATCAAGCCTGGAGTCCAAATTCTCCCACGTGACCCCAACGGGGTATGTATTTGTACCTATTTGTTAACATTATTTTGCGTGCCTGTGGAGTTAAAGTTTTCAAATCCAAAGACTTGACACATGTATCTCTAAGTATGTTGACGCACTTAATCCGATTTTGAAGCAAGATTTGCACCACTCCAGTTTTTTAAATCGCAAAAACCACCGGAAAATTGTAAAATTCATTGTTTTTTTCGCAATTAAAAAAACAACCTTGAAGGTGGTGTGACATCTGTCTTCTGATTCGGATTCAGCTCTTTGATGTACATAAGGAAATATGTGGCTAGTCTTTAGGACTTTTTTGTTTTACTTATTTACAACTTTTTTTTGTGTGCCTGTGTTATTGTTTAGGGACGAACTAAAATTGGTATATTATATAACACTAAATTAAATTTTGTATCAAATGTTCAAACTGTCCTCTCCTAAAATGTTTCGTGCTAGAAGAATGGAAGTGGAATTACAGTATTTGTTACGATGAATAGAGTCGGATCTTGCTTTGTGTTATGAAATAATCCATGTTCCATTTTGTAATTTTTCATATTTGTATTGAATAATAAACATTTCAATAATAATTACCATTTAAACAGGTAATTATCAAGCGAACCTTTTCCCCCCACTTCCGAACCCTCATTGGAACATTGTACGCGCGACGCCGCATCCGGCGCTGCTTTTGTTCCGGGGCTTGGGTCTGAGCAGGAGAGCAGATTTTGTGACGTCACAGAGTACTGAGTTGGCAAGCCCTGACCCAGAAGTTGATGCGACCTTAAAATAAAAAAAAAGTATTGTTCCCGAACCTGAGGAGTAGCAGGTTCGCTTCCCAGCCTGCGTAGATATTTGTATACATTCTAGATTATGATAAAATCCACTATATTACATTTTAAATTTGCTTTCGCGAACAATGCGAATATTTGAATTCTGAAGAAATTATATAATTGAACGCCTTTATATGAAAGTAAAAGTATGCATAATGCAGCATGGGGGTTAAAATAATAGGTTTTGATTCTGCGCCATCCGCGCCTTTCTTTAAAATTTATTTATTTTTTGTCATGACGATTCAGCGCGGTCGGCGGTGAACCGCCCATGGCGTTTTGGAGAGTTCTAGATTTCACCCACCATGAGATCAAGAACACCAAAACATTATAAATAAACGTTTTTATTTAAAAACTACACAGAAAAAGTTGCCTAGTTGATTGTAGTTGCTAATAATTGATAGTCCCACTAACGTGGAACAATAACATTCGTAAAAATGAAAGTTAGCACACAGCACCTATCTCGCCGATAATCGCAATGTGAGAACAATTCTGCATTCATATCTGTAGCATTGACATTTAATTTACCCACCGGGAGAGGTATCAACTGATATCACTGCAGTGCCTTCGACCGGGAGGTCCTAGATTCGAGTTCCGACTGCGGCAGGATTTTAGCCTCTAACTTGTCAGCTAGGTCGAATACAGACTCTGTCTGGAGAAGAATTCTAGCGGCTTTCTGCTCTGATTGGTAGTTTTCCGTGGTTTCATCTATCCTCACCCCTTACACACACACACACACACACACTAACATGCTCTACACTAGCAAACCTGCCGTGAGATCAGTCTGGGGCTTAGAGCTTGTCCCGGCTGAGACGGTGCCCCGATGGTGGGAGACACCTGGTTGACGGTAGGTCGACGGTAGGTCGGTGTCGGTTGTCGCCATCCAACGGGGGAAGATCACCGCCACCTGTGGAAAACAAAACACTAGTTACGAGACTAATGACATCAATAGTTTACGCGCCCGGAATCAAAATAATCCACTCGGAGAAAACACTCTGGCAATGCCTGCATGCCATTCTTATCAGTTCTGCGAAAGGTAACAATCTAACAATATGCGTTTTAATGCGGTATGTCCTTGTATGGATATTTTTTCAAAAGCGATCAATCGCGTAATATTTCGAGATATCGTAGCGTCTACGTAGAAGTCTCTCCCAGGTATTTAATGTTTTTTCTTTCGTTTTTTAAAGATGTTTGTTTTTCAAAGGATACAAAAATAATATTTATTGTTTAAAAATAAACAGAAAATACGAGGATCATTTCAGAAGTCAACTATTTTATTTATTTCGAATATCCGCATATGGGTTTGTTGCACTATATACATTTGAAAACATGCTGTACGCTGTACGGGATGCGACCACCAGATGGTCTGAGGGCATTGACGTCTAGTAGGCAACACATGCAAACGTTAGTGTCCTAGAGACTGTTCCGAAATGGATGTCACTAAAGTTGAACAACGAGCATATGTAAAAATTTCATTTTAGCGGGGCAGAAATCCTCGTGTCAAGAACGAAGTGTAATAAAATTTGAGCACTTTTTAAGGAAAATGTGAAAATGTTGAGACTTAATTTAAATATTCCCCAAAATCGAAATATCAGTTTGTCACACAACTTTAGAGATATTTTAAATTCGTCGGGGGATATCAATTTTGGATAAATTTGAAGGGTCTACTGTTTACCAAATACTGACGGTCAGGATAGACGGAGTGACGGATAGGGGCCGACTGACGGATAGAGACGATCAAACAAACAGGTGAATTAGCACGCAGGTACTCACAGTCAGGCACACTCAGAGAGCCAGACACACAGATTCATCTGGATCACGGGGTTTGGTGTATATTTTTATAGTGTTTTGCCCAGTGTATCGCTTGAGGAGTTAAAGCCATTACTCGATAGATTAATGGATGATGCGAGAGGACGTATGCCTCTTATTATGGCTGGGGACTTTAATGCATGGGCAACTCAGTTGGGCCGCAAGGCTATGATCCAACGTGAAATGGCTCTCCTGGACAGCCTTGCACATTTAGACGTCTGTCTCTGCAGCACGGGTAACAGCCCGATGCTTGTCTTGAATGGTCGCAGCTCCGTCGCTGACTTGACATTCACATGTGATAGCATTGCTATACGGATGTCATGGGAGGTTAGCGATCATTATACACATAGAGACCCTCAAGCTATTGTATAGGAAGTCACGGAGGAGTGAAGGTTCAGTTCTGCAATGGTAGAACGAGAGCTACTGGGAACCACAGGACGCTCGATCACGATTCTTTCGCTTCCGTGATGGAGGGCAACGTTATGTTGGTTGGAAACTCTGAAGATATCGTGAAAACAGCAATAAATCGGGTTTCTGACGCTTGTGATGTGCCAATGACGAAAAGTCTCAGAAGAGAACGCCGTCCTCCAGTGTACTGGTTGACTGATGGGATCGCGAAACTACGCAGAGAATGCCACCGCGCGAGTGGAGTCGCCCAAATTTTGACTCTCTCAAGAAGAAACACATGGCCGCCAGAAGAGCTTTCACAAAAGCCATTAAGAACAGAAATGATCGCTGCTGGAAAGAGCTAAGCAACGAGGTAGATACCTTGGGGCGTCCGTATAAAGTGATAACGGCCAGGCTCCTGGTCCTGTCCAGACCATCCCCGACTTGCCCGATTGTGTTGGAGAAGTT